AGAGTGACTATTAGGGTTAGCGTCCCTGTGTTTATAATATTTGTCAAAGTAATATGCAGGAGCTGCAGTGAACAGTTTCCACTCAAGAGTGAAAAGAAGCCAAAAAATTTCAATCTCATGACCTGTTATTAACCTTAGAAAACAAAAAAGTGGCTAATGGCATTAAGATTCTCATAAATGCAGAGGCAGGCCCCGTGGCCGAGTGGTTAAGTTCGCGCACTCCACTTTGGCGGCCCAGGGTTTCATAAGTTTGGATCCTGGGCACGGACATGGCACCGCTCATCAGGCCATGCTGAGGCGGCGTCCCACATAGCACAACCAGAGACACTCACAGCTAGAATATACAACTATGTACTGGGGGGCTTTAGGGAGAAGAAAAAAAAAGAAGATTGGCAACAGTTGTTAGCTCAGGTGCCAATCTAAAAAGAAAGAAAAGATTCTCATAAATGTAAAGTCTTTTGTACCATGTTTACAAAAGTGATCCTGTTTAAAGTTAGGAATTATAATAAATTAAGTTCAGACTTAGGAATAAACAATGAATATTCAAAATGTTACTGTTTTAGAGTATCAGTCAGCTATTACTACAGTGACACTGCCACACAAAAATGCAAATATGTATGCTTTAGGACAGATACTGAAGAGAAAACTGCATATTAAATGCAATTTATAAAAGCTTTCCATCATCTGAGGGAACACATTAGGAAACTGAAACAGAATTAATAAAATAAGATATATACCTGGAGCTAGAGGGTAGAAGTAAGTTTCCCGTAAGACACACAACGGAAAAGAACATTAGCTTTTGGGGTGACATTTAAACTAGTTGTGGCAGGGTGGACTCACCTAGCTGTAAGTGGATGAACGACTGCTATGTATTATGAAGGAAGAGACCCCAAGGGTAAAGAAGTTGAATTAAGTGTTAAAGGGAAATAGAATCCAGCAGCAGTAGAAATCTTTCTGCCATTTCAGTAAACAGTCAAGGAATTTAAATGACAAGCAAGTCTGCCCACTGGGATCCTATGGCTCGTTGCATCCACAACCCTGGAGTGCGTGGTGCCTCACTTAGCAACAGAGATGCTGGAGCCAGGACGGCGGAGACGCTCACCTACAACCAGCTGAAGTGCTAGCTCTGGAACCAACATGAGGTGCCACTGTAGTTGTGAATGTTAACTGATGGTAGAAGCAGCAGTAGTCGCCAGGCCAGTTTAGGGATGGCTTATTGTGGGGGAAAGATGCCAGGAAGCCTTTGATACCAAAGGCAGAACCATAAAGAGAAGCAGACTCTGAAGAGAGGCTCCTTCTTATGTTAGAGCAGTTTTCTTATGTACAGAATGTGGGGAAAATGGTTACAAACAAAAACAACGTTCATTGATAGGCAAACTGTGCAGTCATGAAAAAGCAGTGAGGTATATTCATATGTAACCACAGGGAAATGTTCTGTTAAATTAGAAAAGCAAATTGTAGACATTATGTACCACTCTGGTTTTATAATAAAACATCTTCTGAAAAGAAATAGCAAAACTGTCCACAGTAGCTATTTTGGGGGAATGAGACTGGAAAAAGGGGTAATGAAGTTTTAAAAGATTGTTTCTCGGGGCCAGCCCTGTGGCCAAGTGGTTAAGTTCGCGCGCTCCGCTGCAGGCAGCCCAGTGTTTCGTTGGTTCGAAACCTGGGTGCGGACATGGCACCACTCATCCAGCCACGCTGAGGCGGCATCCCACATGCCACAACTAGAAGGACCCACAACTAAGAACATACAACTATGTACTGGGGGGCTTTGGGGAGAAAAAGGAAAAAAAATTAAAAAATAAAAATCTCTAAAAAAAAAGATTGTTTCTCTTTAAAGCCTTCTGTGTTGAATTTACATTAAGCATGCAATGTTTCTAGAGTAAAAGACATTAGCAAAGAGCTCCAAACCAGTGCTTATGTCACGTGCCCACCTGCAATACAGTAATACTTCTTGCTTCTTATTTTAGGAGATCAAGAGTTACATGTGGTATTTTATGTCAGATGCTTACTGAGCAGTTTAAACCTACACACATCTTTTGAGATAAGGATAATAAAATACTATAGCTTATAGTAATTGATTCCATACCTGACCCAGAAGGGGTATATTGCTCCTCAGCTGGGAGGAAGAAGTGAAGGCATATGGAGTCTGGGAATAATATACCACGTAAACAGGTCTGTACTGGTTTGGCTTTCTATACTGTGATCCCCAGGCAATTCGAATCCATACGGCATTCTCCTCAGCGTCTCTGAAGCTGATTGTCACCTTATTAAAAGAAGATTTAAGTTTCCTAATTAAAATTTCATTGTGGTCCCAATGATAGGTGCTTTTTAGGAGTGATGGATGTCACTATCATCTTGCACACAGGCTAAGATCTGGCAGCAGTCTTTTCTCCTACTTTTCATTACAGTGTTTTGGGAATCTTCGGTGAAATATTTTTGTGGTGGTTTTGTAGAGACACATATATGCCTTGCAAAGTCTTCTAGAAGAAAAAACATTTAAAAACCTACAGTCAGGGTTTTTCCAATAATTTCTTAGGCTTGTCCTGAAAAACTATATTCTTCCGTCTATAAGAGTTTATGAAGTAAGGCAGCCTTGCAAATGATACCTGTTTTATAATGAAGCCTTTTCATTATAAAAAGAATTTCACTATTCAATGAGTTAGCATGTACTATAAAGTTTATTAGTAAGATTTCTATGTAGTAATGGGCTTAAAATACCCTAATCCTAATGCTTTTATACATTTAGCTTAGATGCTAAAAACTACTCTAAAGGAAAGTTATATGGCAAGAATATAGGAAATGCTCCTTGGTTTCCATTTCACGGATAAAAGATAGACCTTTCTAAGCCTTTAAATATAAATGCCAGTTGGTCTGGAATTTTATAGCCCCCTCCTGGATTGTTAGCTCCCCCGTGCTTCAGCCTCCCCTTGGAGCTGAGACCTGGGAAGGAGGCACCAGAGACGGGTACACTTGGCTGGTCCATGTCTCTTTATTTCCTCCCTCTTGTATCTGACTCCAGGAAAAGCAGGCTGTTACGTGGCTGCTGGCATTAGCAACCAAGGCAGTTACTTTGACTCTGCCACTCTTTATCTGGCTGATTTCCAAACTCCCTCAGTGCATCAGACAAGGAACTCTCCCCAGGCTGGGGCGTGGAGGGCGCAGAGCTGTCTGACCTCCCCCTGAGTGAGCAGCATAGTGTTTGGCCCCGACAGGCACGCAGTGGACCTCTGCTGACTTGAATGGAAGAGGACAGGGTCTTATCCTGAATAGCCTCTGCATCACGTTACAAAAGGAAAAATGCCTGTATAAATCAAGATTGAATGCAGTATACAGAGGGCTCATTTTTACTAGAGGGAGCAAACTGGTAGCACTCAAGACATTTGGGTAGTCTCTCTAGTCTAGAATGACGACAATTTAGGTGAGGCCTCCTGCAGAGTTGAAAGACCTCTGTGGCCTCCTGAACTGAATGCGCAGTCAAGTGTACATGTCTAAGCGTACACTTGTCTGGAGAGATGTGCTGTATCACTTATCAAAATTGTCACACAGATCTACAATCCAAAAAGGTGAAAAATCAGTGGGCATAGGGCCAGCCCGGTGGCACAGCAGTTAAGTCCGCACATTCAGCTTTGGTGGCCCGGGGTTCGCCGGTTGGGATTCTGGGTGTGGACCTACGCACCGCTTGTCAAGCCATGCTGTGGTAGGCGTCACACATATAAAGTAGAGGAAGATGGGCACGGATCTTAGCTCAGGGCCAGTCTTCCTCAGCAAAAAGACGAGGATTGGTAGCAGATATTAGCTCAGGGCTAATCTTCCTCAAAAAACAAAATAAAACAAATCAGTGGGCAAAGAAAAGGATGTCCACAGAGTCAGTGTAATCCTGGCCCAGATGGCTTTCAGATGTTCCATTTCACATTCTTGGAGTAAAGAAGGTACACAGATACCTGAAGAGGTAGGGCCCAAATATAGACCTTCATTATTTTCCAAAGAAACAATCTCAGTAGATATCACCCTGCAATAGCAGGGATAAAGCATTTGTCACAGAGGATAGCTCAGATTAATATTGCTCAAGTTTAACCAGGTGACCAAGGGTCCTAAGTGGTTTGGCTAAGCTGGGACCATACTGCTGGCCAGGGTACCCTCTAATGGCTATAAACTGTCAATAACTGGCCACAACCCATAAGCCACTGAACATGTTAGAAAAAAGTTTAGTATTAAGAATCAAATGAAACTTACAACACATAGAATTGCCACATATTTAACTACATTAATATTTTTAGCACAGACCATCATTATACCACATGATATACAAGCATGAAAAAGGAGAGTAAATGTACTCCCTTTTTACAATTGAAACATAATTTCAGTTTGTCTCCTCTTTCTTTGTAAATTTTCCAAGAATATTGTATCTTGAATAGTTTTACCTGGTAAGATATGCAGTTAATCCCCCCCCACACACACACACAGGCACGCACACGCACACACACACTCAAAGGCTCTGGATGGGCTCTTCTGAACCACAGGCTCCACTCATCACTCTCCAGGTGTCTTCCCTGTGCCCCCTCACACAACCTTCTCTACTCAGTTGGTTCAAGGGCAGGAGTTCTTAACCTGAAAACCTTGGTGAGAATTCAGGGCATCTATGTACTTGGTGGGGGAAAAATTACATCTTTATTTGTACTAATTTCTGATTTAAATTTAGCATCTCCTTCAGTTGCGAAGGTAGGGAACAAAATAGTATAATTTTAGGACCTGCTACTCTGTTGTCCCTAGAAATCCCAACTATCTTATCACATTACAATTGTTGCACATGCCTCAAAAATATTATTTATACCCATCACTACTTTGAAACTGGCTATTTTTAGACCCATTAAGATTATTTGTGTTAATAAAGAAGCATATGTATCAGTATATCACAATTTAATATTTTAATACCTTAATAGCTGTATTTTAATAAAACTGGCTTCCCTTGTAATTCTATATATTCTCTTTTATAGCATTTGAAAACATTCTTCTGAGAAGTGGTCCCTAAGCTTCACTAATGGTCAAAGAGTCCTTGGCACAAAAAAGGTTAAGACATCTGTCCTAGAGGAACAGGTGAGTTACTCTTCACTCCTGGGCACCAGGAGACTCCACTTGGCAGGACAGCACCATCGTCAGCCTTTTGGAAAGCGGGGTTATCCAGTCGCTAGTTAAGTTATGAGGAGGAAAGTGAAGACAAGGAAAGTCCTCAGTCAGTTGAGAACAGGTGTCAGGACGTGTGGGTCAGCTGGGAGCTGGGGACAAGGGACAGAGAAGACACAGGAGCTCCACCTGTTCATCCTCCTCATTTAAAACCTACAGCGGACACGGCACGTCTCTCTAGCTGGCCTTTCAAACAGGACGGATGTGGCCAATAAAAAAGCTCCTTTGTTCCTCTAGCCTCCCCTGCTAGACTGCCTGAAGTTCCTTCAGGAGGCAAAAGCTTTTGGAACATGGCAATAATAACATGGGAAGAAATCTAACAGCCGAAATACACGGGCATTAAAAGAGAAGGAAATAGGAGTGTTTCAGACTCTTCTCCTTCAACGGTGGGGGAAGGGGGCGTGGGGTTCAGAGAACAGAAGTTCCTGGTGCCTAAAAGAGGGACAGGAAAGACCATCAAGCGGGAAGAGGGCACTGAGAGGGAAGGACACGGACAAACTCTGAACTGGAGGCGAGAGAGCAGCTCTCTAGGTTTCTCGTTTTGGGTGCAGTTGGGTGGGACCATTGCCACAAGTGTTGCTCGAGATGAGTTAGGCAGTCATGTTCAGCTTCATAAAAAGGCTGGTTCTAGAAGAGTCCAGACCATATATCCACAACACTTATGGAGAGCCAGCCAGGGATTCTGTGCCAATGAGGCTGTTTGTTTTAAAAAAAAGCAGCTGCATGTGCCATACTCACAGTCCAGACGGACTCTCTTTTAATCTCTACAAAGTTCATAATTTCATGGTAAGAATATTTTTGAAATAATATAATCAAAAATAATTACTTAGGAACAAGGTAGAAAAAAGTGCATATTCATGAAAGAGAAAAAAAAGTAGAGACATGCCTTCTCTTGGCTAGAATTCTGTGAATTAATTTATAAATTAAATGGACCCCCAATCAAAATGCTGATTTTGTTTTGTTTTATAAACCTGACAAATTGATTCTAAGGTTCATCTGGAAGAACAGTCAGGACATTTTTGATAAAGAAGAGTAACTGGGGGAGGGGCAGGGTATTAAAACATTGTAAAAACGACAGCGATTAAAGGAACGGGGAGTTTGCAAAGGATGCGCCCGATTCACTTACTCCCCACCATTTTTTGAGCGCTCGCCTGTGTCAGTGGGGAGTAGGATGGTCAGAGCACTGCTCTCAAGGAGCCTGGCAGTTAAACTAGAAAATGAGACGAGTATGTTGACAGGAACACAGGACAGGGGGACAACCACTCCAGGGGGTCAGGGAAGCACCCTCCGAGGGAGCACTCTTTAAGTGGAGGTCAGGAGGATGGGGAGGAATGAGCTGTGCAAAGGCCAGGTGGTGGAGGTTGTTCCCAGGGGACGGAACAGCCTATGGCAAGTTTAAGAACTCACAGAAGTTTAATTCAGTTTGGCTGGAGTGTAGAGTGCAGGTGAAGACACGCAGGAGGCAGGCAGTGGATCCAGGAGGGCATGAGAAGAAACAGATCACTGAGTAGAATATAGACTCTTAAATGTATGAATGAATGGGAAGAATCCAATGATGTTAATTAAACCAGTGGAAAAAGATGAATTAATCAACCAATGGTGTTGGGACAACTCATTAGCTTCTGAAAGAGGAATGATACTCTATCCTCCCTCCTTTAAGGTACTCCTACTTCCCTCCCTTGTCCCACCAAAGTCAAGTCCCGTGGCCTAAGCTCATTGGAGGAGGGCTGAGTGCAGAACCTTGTGGGCTGCTCCAGTAAAGGGCAGAAGCAAAGGAAAAGAATTAGTCGGAGACAATAGGATGGGCAGAAGACAACGAGAAGAGAGAGATTCAGGAACAAGCGGGTTCGACTGGCAATTGTCTGAGTATGACCTTCCTGAGCACAAGAAATGGACGGTCAACATATATAACCTACAGTACCAAGAAACTGTGACTGGCTCCTGTCTGCAGGCCAGCCGTCCTCCCGATGCCAAAACTCAGTCAGGCAGTTACCTCATTACCTCAGTGGTTGCTGGCAGAACTACTCTGGGGACCTCCCTTGGCCCTGGAGGAACAGACTAGAATAGGTGTCCTCTGCAGGCCACTGCTCTCACTCAGGCTAAGTCAGTGCCCCTGCCAGAGAAAGGTGAAGCAGGGTGGTGAAGAGGGGCCAGCACCACTGTGCCAGCGGGACTCTCTCCACACAAGGGACATGTCAGGAGCAAGAAACACATATCTTCCTCTAACAGTCTTGTGGTAGAAAGAACAGAGCTTGAGGATGAGCATGGGGGAATGGATGTACTTTTACTGGGACTTCAGCATGTTTACAAGCAGTAGAGTAGGATCAGTAGAGGAAGGGATTAAGAATGTGAAAGAGAATAGAGAAAAAGAAAGCAGGTAGGCCCTCAGAGGATGTAGGAGATGGATTCAAAGCACACGTGGAAGGGTGATTATACAGGAGATGAGAGAAATGCTCAGTGACAAGTGGATAAACACTATGACAGAAGTTATGGACAAAGGATGACATAGGGAGATGGAAAGACAGTTCGAGGGGTTTTTGTATGAAGAAAGAGGGAACACCACTGTTTTAGAGAGGGCGGCTATAGCATGGTGACTGTGACAGATTTTGGGGCATGTCTCTGTATGCAAGGAGGACTGAAGCAGATAAGGTGGGACGAGACTGAAGTAGGGGAGGCTGTTAAAAAAATGATCTCCTCAGCCTACAATAAGATATTGAGGTGGTGCTTTTGGAAATGGAATGGCAGTAGAAGATTCTGTGGGTGTTCTCGAGCTGCACTGACCAACGCCGTAGCCACTAGCCACCTGTGGCTATTTAACTAAAATTTATCACAGTTAAGTAAGATTAACATTTTAGTTCCTCAGTCATGCTAGCCACAATTCAAGTGCTCGGTGGCCACACGTGGCTACCAGCTAGTGTAGTGGACCACACAAAAATAGAACATTTCCATCATTAGAGTTCTGTTGGCTGGTGCTTCTTAAGCATTTGGTCCCAAACTGAGAAGTGAGGGGAGATGAAAGTTTTTACCATAAGTAGAGTTTGTCTTTGATATCGAATAGAGTAGTATGGAATATTACTAATTGAAATCCTTACAGATAAAGAAAACAAGGTAGTAGCAAATTTTAAGTGCATACATACCATGAAATAGAATTTCATGGAAATTCAGATAAACTGTATTCTTACATTTTTTAATGCTCTCTGAAGAATTTTCTTAAATGATCTTTTGAATTGTTCCATATCAAAAAGGTCAATGTCTTCACCTGTCAAAGTGAAAAGAAAAATCAAGAAAAATCAAGGGAGCTACAACGTCTTCAATAAATACATCTGCAAAGACCCTGAAGGCCAGCATTTTGGGTAACCTCAAAGAGCAAAAATGATCAAATCACGCAAATGCTGCTGGTACCTCCGACACAGCATCACCAAATATATTTCTCATTTTCCCATATATGAGTAATAATCACCTCATATTGAAAGAGAAGAGATTTAAGAGGAACATACTATTAATTTTGAAATTGCCAAAATATCAAATACAAATGTTCAGTTTAAAATGGAAAACATTACCTGGTTCTCTGCTCATCCGAAAAACATCCCAAACCTTCTGGTGCCGATGAAATTGAGTATCTGAGAGAGGGAGGAAGAGCTTATTACTATTATACCACAGAACTCTCAAGTAACATGCTTACAAATACATATTTTTAATAATATGAAAGTGGAGAAAATAACAATAATTTACAGATCAGGTTATACAGATTTTTATTCAAAATATAAATTTTATGTGTATTAAATTTACTCTAGACAAATAAAACAAGTCATAAAGAATTACTCCATCTACGTAGTAGGGATGTAGCATTTATTCTTAGTCAGCCCAGTTACTCTCCTTCCGTACCGTCTACTCCACAGGATGCCGCATTTCCCAGCGTGCCAGGGGGCGTGTGCTCTGTGTAACCGGCATTTGCACTGGCTGTTTCTTTGTCTGGAGCATTCTTCTCCTGGCCTGTTGCACACCTCATTCCCATCTCGACTAAAATGCCACCTACGCAGAGTGGCCTACCCTGATGACCTGATGCAAATCGATCCCCCATCCCGCCCTGCTTTAGTTTCCTTCACAGCACTTATCACTACCTGACATGACATCGTACATTCAGATGTTCATTTGTGTGCTGCTTGTCTCCCCAGGTAGAATCCCACAGAATGCAGGACTTAGTCTTGTTCACTGTTGTATTCCCAGCACCTAGCCAAGGCTGGCATTAAACAAGCACTCTGTATACATTTGATGAATGAATGAATGAATGATACAGAAGACATCCTTCAGGAGTTACAAATGTAAGAGTATCTTGGAGTAAAAATGGGCTTAGGAAGTTATCCAGTTCAATCCCACCACGTTATCATCCTGGCTTTACTCTGACCTCTGTCTGTCTGCACTGACTTCCACCTGCATGTCTGTGGCTTTGGACCTAGGACCAAGGTGTTCTGCACCCCATAAAGAGGGGCTGGTGGCCCCAACACTCAAGGCCACCTATTGGCTGTGCTTTTTGTACTTATTACTTTTCTTGTCCTTTCTTCAGTTTATTGTCGGTTTTTTTTTTTTTTGGTGCCTTGGTGTCCCTGTCTCTCCCCACCCCACTTATGGCAATGACCTGACAATTCTTTTTTTTTTAATTTTTATTGCAGTAACATTGGTTTATAACATTATATAAATTTCAAGTGTAATGTCATATTTCAGTTTCTGTGTAGATTACATCATGTTCACCACCCAAGTCTAATTGCCATCCATCACCATACACAAGTGCCCTTCTACCCCTTTTGCACTTCCCCCCTGCACCCTGGTAACCACCAATCTATTCTGTGTCTATGTGGTTTTCTTTTTTTAATCCTCGACATATGAGTAAAATCATATGATATTTGGCTTTCTCCATTTAACTTATTTTGCTTAACATAATGCCCTCAAGGTCCATCACTGTTGTCACAAATGGCAAGATTTCAACTTTTTATGGTTGAGTAGTATTCCATTGTAGCATTCCATTCCATATATATAGTATTCCATATATATATATTCCATATATATAGCATTCCATATATATAGTATATATACATATATATATATATGCCACATCTTTATCCATTCATCTGTTGATGGGCACTTATGTTGTTTCCAAGTCTTGGCTATTGTAAATAATGCTACAGTGAACATAGGGGTGGATATATCTTTTCGAATTAGTGTTTTCTTGTTCTTTGGATAAATACCCAGAAGTGGCATAGCTGGATAATATGGCAGTTCTCTTCTTAATTTTTTGAGAAATCTCCATACTCTTTTCTGTAGTGGCTGCACTAGTTTACATTCCCACTAGCAGTGTAGAGGGTTCCCTTTTCTCCACATCCTCTCCTACACTTGTTATTTCTTGTCTTTTTAATAATAGGCATTCTGATGGGCACAAGGTGTTATCTCATTATAGTTTTGATTTGCATTTCCCTAATAATTAATCATGTTGAACATCTTTTCATGTTCCTGTATATCTTCTTTGGAAAAATGTCTGTGCAGATCCTCTGCCCACTTTTTAACTGAGTTTTTTGTTGTTGTTGAGTTGTATGAGTTCTTTATATATTTTGGATATTAACCCCTTATTGGATATATGGTTTGCATATATCTTCTCCCAGTTGTTAGGTTGTCTTTTCGTTTTGTTGATGGCTTCCTTTGCTGTGTAGAAGCTTTTTATTTTGATAATTCCATTTGTTTATTTTTTCTTTTGTTTCCCTTGCCTGGTCAGACATGGTATTCAAAAATATACTGCTAAGACCAATGTCAAAGAGCATACTGCCTGTGTTTTCTTCTAGGACTTTTATGGTTTCAGGTCTTACATTCAAGTCTTTAATCCATTTTGAGTTAATTTTTGTGTATGGTGAAAGATAACAGTCTACTTTCATTCTCTTGCATGTGGCTGTCAAGTTTTCCCAGCACCATCTATTGAAGAGACTTATCTTCTCCATTGTATGCTCTTAGCTTCCTTGTCAAAAATTAGCTGTCCATAGGTGTGTGGGTTTATTTCTGGGCTGTTGATTCTGTTCCATTGATCTGTGTGTCTTTTTTTTTGTGGCAGTTCAATGCCATTTTGATTACTATAGTTTTGCTGTATATTTTGAAATCAGGGAGTGTGATACCTTCAGCTTTGGTCTTTCTTCTCAGGATTGTTTTGGCCATTCAGGGTCTTTTGTTTTTCCATAAAAATTTTAGGATTCTTCATTCTATTTCTGTGAAAAATGTGATTGGGACTTTGATAAGGATTGCACTGAATCTGTAGATTGCTTTATGAAGTATGGACATTTTAACTATGTTAATTCTTCCAATCCATCAGCACAGGATATCTTTCCATTTCTTTTTGTCTTCTTCAATTTCTTTCGACAACGTTTTATAGTTTTCAGTGTATAGATCTTTTACCTCTTTGGTTAAATTTACTCCTAGGTATTTTATCTGTTTTGTTGTGATTGTAAATGGGATTGTACTCTTGATTTCTTTTTCTGCTACTTAATTGTTAAGTGTATAGAAATGCAAGTGATTTTTGTATGTTGGTTTTGTATCCTACAACTTTACTGTATTAGTTTATTATCTCTAACAGTGTTTTGTGGATTCTTTAGGGTTTTCTATATATAGAATCATGTCATCTGCAAATAGTGACAGTTTTACTTCTTCCTTTCCAATTTGGATCCCTTTTATTTCCTTCTCTTGACTGATTGCTCTGGCTAGGACTTCCAATACTATGTTAAATAACAGTGGTAAAAGTGGGTATCCTGTCTTCTTCTTAGAGGGATGGCTTTCAGTTTTTCACCTTTGAATGATGCTGGCTGTGGGTTTGTCATATGTGGCCTTTATTATGTTGAGGTATATTCTATACCCATTTTGTTCAGAATTTTTATCATAAATGAATGCTCTATCTTGTCAAATGCCATCTCTGCATCTATTGAGAGGATCACGTGATTTTTATTCTTCATTTTGTTAATGTGGTATATCATGTTGATTGATTTGTGTATGTTGAATCATCCTTGCACCCCTTGAATAAATCCCACTTGATCATGGTGTATGATCTTTTTACTCTATTATTGTATTTGATTTGCTAATATTTTGTTGAGGATTTTTGCATCTATGTTCATTAGTGATATTGGCCTGTAAGTCTTTGTATTATTAGTAAAGTAAAATTTGTAAGTGGTATCCATTGTAATTTCTCCTCTTTCATTTCTGATTTTATTTGAGGCTTCTCTCTTTTTTTCTTGGTGAGTCTAGCTAAAGGTTTGTCAACTTTGTTTATCTTTTCAAAGAACCAATGGCCTGACAATTCTTGATTATCTAGTTTTGTCTAAAATAGGTATAATCAGGTACAATGTGATGCCTGCCCAAGAGACAGCATCCAGAGGATTTTTGTTTCTTTCTGGTATTTTCTTCCTTGGTTCTGTGTTTCAGAGTTGAGATGGCCCGCTAGTTGATCTCTGAATAAGGTTGTTATAATAATAATGGAAATTAAAATTTTTTGTTGTTAATGGTTCTATTAAACATCATGTAAAAGTTCATGGTAAATGACAAGGACTTAAATACAAATGAAGACATTTCCTCAAATAGAACCCATCCTAGACTAATTCATTATCTTTGAGATAAACTTGTCCACCTCTAGTGTTCTCTATCTTAGCAAGGGGCTCTACTTTCCTTCTAGTTGCACATGCAGACCCCGGAGCAATGCGTGTCCCTCCCAGCGAGTCCCCTCTTGATCACACCATATGTAAGTCCAGTCAGTTTTAATCCTTACATTCCTTACAGGCTGCACTGTAATAAGAACAAATTCTCAGAAATATATTTTCAAATTCTTTACTAATAATACAAAGCCTAACAAATATTTCCTATGTGCTTATTATATGCCAGTTACTGTGCTAAGAGCCCTTCAAGCATTATCTTAGTTAACCCTCACAATGATCCTGTGCAGTAGGTGCTGTTATTATCTCCATTTCACTTAGGAAGAGTCTGAGGCTTAGAAAAGGAGACGCGACTTGGGAAAGGACACAAGACTGGTAAGTGACAGAGCTGGGATTTGAAACCAGGTCAACTTGACTCTAGAATCTGAGTCCTTACATGCAAAATTGCCTCTCTGATGAAACTGGATTGGTTAAGTGTAAATACAAATCACCGAAACTTACAAACGATGTCTAAAATGGCTGCGTCATTGAGACTGGCTCGCTTCTTCTGAAAGAGAAGATAAAAGATTTAATAAACATGGCGATAAGCTTGGTTCTACCCCATTTACAGCACATTTTAGGATTGTTTAGAACAGACTATGAGCACCCTCTCAGTTACTGACCACCTGTCTCCAATCTACGCTCTCCTGTTAGGTAACAAATAGATCGTCTGACTCACGTCTCCGCACGGACACTCACACCTGTTCTTCCACAGTCTACTCCTCAATGATTACTTTTAACGTTTTTTGTTGTTGAAGTAACATTGCTATATAACATTATATATTTTCAGGTGTACATCATATTTCGACTTCTGTATAGACTACACTGTGTTCACCACCAA